GACGTTAGAATGTTCTTCAGTATTTTGACACTTCAGTGATGCGTTTAATATAATGTCAAAGACATTGACGTTTACCATCTTTGTAGCATCCTTTTCGACACAAATTCAACAGCTTTCCTTAGATCAGCTTTTTTTCTTTTCAGAAACACATTCGCTTACCAATACGTAAACACTTGTTTAATAATGGTAATGTAATTCCCAAAAAGGTTGCAAAAGTGATCTCGAAATGTTTTTTAATACTTTCATTGGACCCTCATTCGCATTTATGGTAAAATTTCCCATATAGAGTCCATTCCGTGTCACCGAGTGGGTTGTTATTGTCATTATTTAGAAATGTTTTGAATTCTTTGTAATTGTTTGTCTAAGAAATTTCATAATCTGGAAATATTTTGAACATCTTGTCAATATTCTAAATAATTCCCTGGTTTTCTAAAATGTTTGAAATATTCCTGATGTGGAACATGACATTTCCAATAGTTTCTAAATATTTCTAACAGCACTCTACCATTTTTTACCATTATTTCGAATTATTTCTAACATTTTGTAAATAGGTCAGTGGGATGGGAAGGAAGTAATTCACACATCCCTGTGAAGTACAGGGTAGACTGCCTGGGTGTCAGGCATTGATGCCTTACAACAAAAGAGCCACCAGTGTCCAACAGTGAAATCTAAAAATATACAGAAGAATACAGAAGAGTAGGATTAGCACCTACTTTTATGGGGGCAATTACCCACATCTACCATTTTTCATTTGTTTGAAATAGTTCTAAATATTTCGAATAGTAAAAGAAACAAATGGGTAGTTCAAATTTATTCTAAATAAAGAGATCTTTGTACAGTGACTTTCAAAATGTTTCAGAAATATATAAATGAATTCAAATATATTCAAATTTTCATTTTCAAATTTTTGAAAAATTTAGAACTTTTGTTACTAGGGTATTCTTTTCTTCTAAATAATTCAAATGTATTAGAAACATGGAGAAAAAAAACCACTCGGTGACGCGGAATCGACTCTACCATTACTTCGAAATAACATCTTGAATTGCAAAAAATTAACAACGGAGTCTATCAGTGTTAAGTATTGAAAAACTGACAGGTTTGCAACAGAAATTCTTTAAAATGAGAAGCAATGAACAGCTACAAACAAAGATTGTTGTGATCTAAGTTATCTCTTACCACATTGTCCGCTGTACGGAATCACATCGACATCATCTATGGCGATGTCTCCCCTGTAGCTGCTGCCGCGGACTGCCTCAAACACGACCGTCGGCTCCGTATTACCGTCAAGAGGAAGCTGGTGTCAGAAAGGGACGAAAGAGAGCAAAATATTAGAGTGTTTAAAGGGATGACACAACCACTCCATTTATCTCGAACGTTCATCAGTGTTGGACTGTTGGTAGAACTTATTATGGAGTAGAATGTAAACTGTAATTTCCAACAAAAGAAATTGGACATATTTTTTTTTACTGTACAACTCTAGTCTTTGTCAAGGATTCAACCGATTCTTTGACATCGCGTTATGAGGATGAACACGTGATTCGTTGAGCAGTGGATCATATGTTGCATAAAGTCTGTGGTGCCCCCCGTCGTCGTTGTTGAGGGTCGGTTGTAATGCCCTGAATTAGAGGGTTGATTGCAATGCCGTAATACTTATCTGCAACAAACGATCCACTGATCACCAAGTCACGTGTGTCATATGCATAACTTGACGCCAGAGAAGTGTTGGGTTGCTTTTTCTACTTGATAATGACTGGAGTTGTTCAAACCTTGGGCAATTCCAATTGCCTGTGTTGAAAATTACAGTTTAAATTGGCTCAAAAGAAAAATATGCAGTGTTTCACCGCTCACCTGCCCTTGTTGCCAAGTGTTGCCTTGATCATCGGAGAGGCTCCACAGGGGGGTTTCGGAGCCCCCACTATCTTTCCGATTGACATTAAGAATGCCGATATGCGGACCGTACATGTGGTACCAGAACGTCAGGCAGTAGCTGGTAGGAGTTGATGACGAGGGGATGATGGGAAGGGTAGGAGACAACAGACGTGAGGTCACTCCCGGGTCGATGCTGGAAGCCTCGAAGTACATGTAGTGTCCTGTGAGGATACATAGCAACTACTGTACTAGAAATTTCTTTCAAGTTGTATTGTTTCATTAGATGGCGTCCGTAATAACGCTTTGCTGGGATTGTGCATGTAAGGCATAAGCATCTGTTTCCTGCTTACTTCTTTTCGTTGTGATCGAAAATAATTAACATTGTTGTTGAATATCCTGTACAGTAGTGCTCCCCTGTTATTTGCATGAACGATTTGTCAATAACAAACAATTAGTTCAATAACCTTGCGAGAGTATGCAAAATCGGCCGGGGAGGGGAGTTCTGTTGTTTACTGATGATATGTATAATGTTACAGGAAGTAATTTAAAAGTAAAACAGCCCCTCCAAAGTACATTGTATAGCCCTGCCACAGGCTTCAATGAATCAATGCGACGATTATCGATTGCGACGAGTGTTGCAGTCCAAACACAAGCTTAATAGAATACAAAGTTCCATTGCAACTCTACAATACATCTCTCTATAATATACTGACAAAGGAAGCCATCTGTAAGGCACGTTTGCTATACTTTACCTTGCACTGTCCCCAAGGTATGGTCCACGCCAGGCCCTGTACTGTCGGAGTCTGTCTGTCCCTGATGCCGCGTCCACTGAGCCGAGTCGTGGATGTCCTGTCGGTACCCGCAGATTGACAACACCTCAAATGTACAGTTCGGAGAGGCTAGTGGATACGGTGTTGTTGTTGGCAGAACTGAAAATAAGGACAACAATGTTCTTATTAATACAAAATAACGTCTACCATCACAGAAAAATACTCATTCACTCAAATACAAATACATACTATGTATGTATGAAGTATGTGTTTCTGCAAATAAACCAGTCTATATATATAAATACCTCCAAACCCTAAATCCACAGGCCATGTTACACAATGCCTGTACTGTCATCAAGACAATCATTCCTATCAAATTTGATGAACGTACATTTTATCTTCTAAGACCTTCATACTTCACATTTCGATTAAGTGCATATTGTACCATCATATTTATCGCAGGAGTAAAGGTTTAGATAAAGTTAATTTTCACCTGTTGTTGGTATCGGGGTACAATCCTGGCTGATGGTGACGTCATCTATAGCGATGTCTCCTCTGAAGCCGTCTCCGCGAACGGCCTCGAAAACGACGTTGAAACCGCCACTTCCGTCCAGTTGCGCATTCCCAAGCTTCCAGACGTTACCCTGGTCCCCGATGACCGTCCAAACTGCGGCTCCCATGATGCCTTGCTTCCTGGTGTACAAGTTCAGGGTACCCGTGCTGTCCCCGAACATGTGGTAGTAGAACCTCAGGCAGTAGGGGGCACTGTTGGCGGGGAAGGAGGGAGAGACAATCCGGGCAGCGTCTCCTGGATTGCCTACTGATGTTTCCAGGTACATGTAATGACCTAATGAACAAATGAAACAGATCTTTACTTACAGAAGAAAATTGGTACCCAAGCACTCGGAAAGATTTTGAACCTGTAAGACGTTTCAAGTAGCGTCTAATATTTTTCATGTAACACCCGACAGTTTGGAAACTCTACCCAGTAGCAGTAAAAATCTCAAAATTTACCGAATGTCAGTTTCCTTGCATAATCTTCATCAGCAAATCTTCAAATACAGGGTAATACGAAGTCGTGGTACCCACAATGAAAATGAAAGCTACCATATATTTCTAGAGAAATGCATGCATATAGCAGTAAATCCCCATGTCTTTTTGAGGCTTGTTTTAAAGACTTCTGACACAAAAATACTCAACTAATCTCCAAGTAGATGTTTTGGTGGCTACAAACGGTCAGTATCAAGTACCAGACAGCATCTAGATTACCATTTGTCACTAAGAAGTTTAAAGGTTGCCGGTACAAAACATGCAGCTCAATGAAATCAAGTGAAACTCTCCAAAAATATTCCGAAGACTAAACCTCTTCTTGTGGAGTATGAACAGGTCAGTAATTAAAGCCTGTGGACAAGTAGCACACAAATACGTTCCTACCTGTGCCCATAGTGTGATCCAATGACGGCCCAGTGTTAGCTGTGGGTGTATGCCCGGTATGACGGGTCCAGTCCTGGTCATCTGTGGTGTCCTGGGTGTACCCACACATGTCACTGGCCTCAAAGTCGCACGCCAATGTTGTACCTTCGCCTGGTTATTATCAAAGATTGTATTAAGTGTGATAAAAGCATTCTTTATTCACAAATATAAGAAAGGAACATTGATATTCCCAGGTCACGTCGGCCATAACTGACCGAACTTGCAGGGAAGACATTAAACATATAACATTGTACAACACATCAGGGCATACAATATTGCATGGTTTCCTTACATATTGCACAGTTTTCATCAAAATTATCAGAAGAAGAATAATTTGGGCACGAATACCTCTCGTTTGATATACGCTAGCAGATTAAGAATTGGCACGCTAAACGATTTTATCGTGACGGCATGCAGAGCGGCAAAAGTAGACCTTCTACTCATTCTTTAATGTAGTAAGTTGAATCAATCATACTGATACACTAGACGAAAACCGACGTATCCGGGTCGTATACTCCCGTACACACGCCCGGAAATTCCAAATATACGGACATTTCCAGGTGTGCGCGACCCGTACACTTGGCGTGTGCGGGCCCGCACACGGCCCGGATATGAACCACTCAGGTGTCCGGGCCATGTACAGGCCTGCACACGTCTGCACACGCCACCCGGAAATCTCTGCACACACCTGGATACGTGACACGTACCTCTGAGTGTGTGTATGAAATATGCATAAATTAGCGGTGATTTTCACCTAATTATCTTCCTCATTATCAGCTCGTGTACGGGTCGTACACACCCGCACACGTCCCCCCCCCTCCAATATGCCTTTTGTAATGTAAAGTAGCATCATAGCCGTTTATCCCCCCTTCTTGTTTGCATAATTTTGTTTTCTTTATTAATTGTACATGGTGCTTGGGCTTTGTGACTTTTTGTTTGTGTTTTGTGTGCCTCCAATATTTCCAGTGTACTTCGGCCGGTCTTTCAGCTCAGCTGAAACAAACTGTACGTCTCGTTCTTCTGTGTCTTGCCTTGACGCAACTAGTCACGGGAGCAGATATTAGTCTCGTCTGGGCACCAGTCGTTAGAAGCCGTCCCAAGCTCTTTATTCCGCGCTGTGCAACAAGCCTCGCTGAGGCGGTGACCCACGGGCCGAACATCTTGTGCCACAGCACGGCCTTGAGTCGGGACCACAGTGAGTCGGGACACAGCGTATAGTCCGGAGGGGTGTACATCGGTCCTCTGGTCCGGTCTAATACTCTCTTGCACGCGGACTATCACTCGCCTATGCCCGCAGCCTGGTTCCCAGGATCCTGGCTACCGGCTTTCCAAAGAACGAGGCATACTCTGACGTTCACAATCTTCCCAATCAACCTCAGCTTGGAGAGTAGTCTTGTCCCAGTTCGTCTTGCCAGTGTCCCACGGCGTTCTTGTCTTGAAAACTGCTCCAATTTACGTAGAAAGGCGCAATACCGATATTCCTGTGTTGATGATGAGATATGACACAATCTCTCACCATGGACCCTTTTCTACCTCCATGCTCTCACTAAGTTCCTAGCGTGTTGCTTGTGTCCAGGATAGTTGTACAATGCACGCTCCACAACCAGGCATGTAACGGAAAAATTTCAAAAATAATGACCCGAGCGTTGATTGGCCCTTTTTTCAAACCCCAATAAAGAGAAATGCATGCAATTGGCTGGCCTGGTTTACAGGTCACCGCAGGAATAATGATATACAAAGAGTTGTGAGATGTCCTGCTTGTCTTTTATGTAAAAGTTGCACGCACACTAATAAAAAAACATAGGCTATAAAATAGTCTGGAATGTTATCATCAACACATAATTTGCAGTTTACCCGTGTAATGTTTTCAACTTCGTGTTCTTAAAGTATAGAAATTAAATATAACCAAGGAAGTTAAACCTCTCTTATATAAAAACAAACAAACAAGGTAAATAAGACATAGGCGCCGTCTCGTCTCTGACCATGACACCACAATACACATCTTACAACAATGTACAAGTAAACTATGCATCTTTTGCCTCTTCCAAAAAAATTATTTTTACACTAAAGTGGGCTGATATTTGAAAAAACACCAGAGCGGTCCCTCTCATTACCAAAGAAAACGACCATGTTTCCAAAGGTGAAATATGTCAAGGTCGAAGGTTCCCAATAGACTAGTTTGGTAAAATTCTGATCAGTAATTGTGTTGTTGTTTTTGCCCACTGTAGATTCAATATGGTGCCGGTATAATGAGGCGTTAATATATGCGGGGAGACGATGGACCACACAAAGAAATCTACTCATTGTTCATAGCAAGGGTTATAGTTACAAATATATACAGGGATACACTTAGACCCCATTCATACCAAGGACGTTATATCATAACCTAGTTGAAGCTCCATGTTCATATAAAATCCTTGTTCATACCAAGCTTTATATATCCTTCTAGATTCTTTAGCAGAGTTTATATAAGCCTGGCGTGGCCCAAAAGTCAACCAGACTCTGGCGAGGGCGAGTTTATAGCAGACATCGGCCCCCAAACAACATTTATTCTATTCACCAACTTTTAATGTAACGCTGATTTCCTCTACCATCCAATCTAGATGTCTTGTCTTTGTGTTGCGTTGCCTGTTACCTACAACGTTTTTAGGTAGTAATTCGGTTCATGGAACGAACTCATGTTTAGGTAGATTTCGGGAGTGAAAATAATATTGTTTTCTAACCAGCATTTTGCCCGTTCTTCTTACCGGCTTTGAAAACACTATTGTATCTACATGTATGGTGACCCCTTATTGTTTGGCAGTACTTGCGACGTGTGACGTGTGCAGGCCCGTATATTCCCGTACACACGACTAATTACCAGGTGTCCGGGCGTGTCCGGAGGAATCACAGACCCGCACACGCCGTGGCCGACATTTCCTGCACACACCCGGACACACCCGGGCACGCCAAGTTTCACGGGACATGTACAGGTCCGGAAACGTCCGGATATTCCGATTTTTGAGCAGTGATATCTGTGAGGCAAAATACAATGTCACCGATGGTAAACTGTGCCGTAGGCTAGTTCTTATTATTTATGGGTGGTACCCTAAAAATAAAGAGCTTCGGGCCATTGAAAATGCTTGGAAGTATGAAATGGTGCCGAAAATGTCAATTAAAGACAAATTTCCTCTTCCAAAATATTTTCTTAGGCCTGAAATTACACTGGGTGCCTTTAAATCATTTTTTTTTTATTCAGAAGCTCAATGAGAATTACAAATGAAAATACATGGACTAAGTGACTGCGAACTCAAGTTAGGTACAACTTATATTCTCGCAGCCACTTTTACAATGAAAGAAAAATATTTTACAAGACATTTAAAAATACATGAGACCTCGCGTGAGTAACAATCCTCCCATCCCAGAAAACACATACAGTTAGAATCTTTTTGTTTCTAATATATAATTTTGTACGGCTAACATTATTTTGCAGTTGGTGTCATACGAACAAAGGAAACTACCGCGAAGAACTAAATATTGTATGGAATTATCAGAAAGAGTGTTTAAATCAACAATATTACCAAGTATGCTTGAAAGCTTGCCTTTAAATCATTTAGTCAGTTCATGTACTAATAGTATTAGTTACACACTGTTGTAAATGGGTATGAATTCTGAATACAACAATACTGGATACCTATCATATTTCCAATATGGCGGAGTATGAATTATTTATGGTAAAAAAGACACAACACGAATACCGGATATGACTGTAAATGGTATGCTCTACACAAAACAGATACGTACTAAATCGAAGTCAGCAATCTATATGTTAGCGATCACCATTTAGGAACTGATCACATTTGTCGCAAGATCGTCGTACGACTGCAAACTTGGGAAATGGTTGGGATAGTCGGGAGTAAGTCGCATGGAATTCAGTGCCCCTTTACTGTATCAAATGCTGTCTTGGTAGTTGTCGTGGGTTCAGGTAGCGACAGTGTGCTAGACTCGGAACCAAGTGGTCCTGGACTCGAGTCCTGACAGGCCACCGATCTTGTGCCCATGGAAATGGCACTTTGTAAACACGACTTTCGTCACTTCGCTTAGGTGACAATGAGTATTGTATTGTCCCCTGTGTCAGGTGGCGGCATTAATATGAGTTGAAAAAACTTGACTGTGCCGCCACCAGGTCTTGTGACTATATGTTGGAATATTTAAAAAAGTTCAAATTTCTATGACAGGAAATCGTGCGGCGGTCTACGACAAATATAAACGTACCATGAGAGCCACGAAGTAAATTGTCCCATGCTGAATCAACGTCAAAACTGCACAGACAAGTTCTCTGCCTCAAATACAACAGTTTTGCCTCTAGCTTCGTACCTTGGTGTCGATAACTAAACACCAAAGCTCCTGACCATTTGAACGTTGGTATTAATCAAGTAAGTAGTCGTACCTGCTGGTAGATGTTGCAAGGTTAGGACGACGAATATACAGCGTGTCGCAAACGAGTCCATGGTGTTTCCGTGTGCACCACTTCGCTGGCGAACACACGGAAATGTTGGCACAAGCTCGGCGTAACAGTCACTGGCACTCAGCCGGGGGAACCTTTCAACGATCCTCGCATGACACATGCGTGGCCAGGCGGAAAGTATCCCAGCCTTTGTTGGAGCCCGTGTTGATATATAAACACACGGTGCACTTGTCTGCTGAAGGGATCTCGAGAATCACACCAGGAACCACACACTGTGTAATCGGTGGCTGAAAATTCCATTAAATTTTAGACTTAACATAAGACTCACAGTGATCAGACGTTTCACATCTACAACACACAATATGTACTCGACTCGGTGACGTGAAAAAACTACAAAATTTCAGCAACAACAAGTATGATGTTTTTAAAAAAACACAGGCGACGATTTTGTGTTTAACTGTTCCGTTCTTTATAAATCGTTTTTTTTTTCAAATACGTACACATATAATTCAGAAAGAATCCAGAATTTCTGTACAGTACGAGGAAAGCCGTCAGGGGTCCAAAATCAGTTAGACCCAGGTAAATTTATGTTGTGTTTCTAGCCCTTGAAAAATTAGAATCGCTAGATAGGGATTCAACTTTTTTATCTGTCTTTTGTTTTTTTTCATAGATCTTTATAATTAGTGATCCAACTAATACAGTTAATATAACAATGAAATGTATAAGTACACTGGTATCTTTAACACCACCCTAATTTCGCCCCTAGAGATATAATAGTGAAACGCCGTCTTGGGATTACCGTAAATTCCCGAAAGTACGCACCCCTTGTGCTTCTGTGCATGTAGCATGTATGTCTTAAAAACAGTTAGTTCTAGAAAATATCGTTTAAAAATAAATTTAGGCCGTGTACTATATACGTGATTGCATGATAACTGGATACAGTATTGTAGCGGGAAGCGTTTCGTGTTGGGGCTAGTTTTCATCGCTGTCTGCAGCCGATTTGCAAGACGTCACCACCGCATCGAAGGGTAAGGCAAGTGCGGCGAAACGTACAGCTTTGGATCACGGAGAGTGTTGGTGATCAAGCAAGCAATGGTCAATAAAGATTTGTGAATATTTCAATAATGGTTTTATCGGTAACAAGGGTTATAATGTTGATGCACAAGTACGTAGCTTTGTTGTTCTTTACTTCTATACGAAATGCGCCGAACACTTTAATAGGGCCCGCCCGGTCGAACCATAGAGAGCAACAATCATCGAGGCTGAGGTCTGGGCGGAGTTAATGAATGAATGAATGAATAAAGACCTTTATTGTACACACATACCCATTGGGTTAAGTACGGGTCACAAAAAGGATGGAATATAGATAACAAATATGTTAATGCTACTGTGGGTGTAGAAGTGCTACCGGATAATCAAAGGAATTATATACACTTCAAATATGTATTAATTTGTACTCCGTAAAACCAAGGACATTATACACACATAATGTCCTTGGTAAAACTGAGTCTGTTCAGAGGAAAGAAATACTTCCTTCTCGGGGCCAAGGTTCTGGAAAGCTGTCCTAAACGATGCCACGACCCTCTCTTCGTTCTTCAGCTGTATGTGCACTTTGCAGGGGAAAAAGATCGGCGTGCACAAGACAACGGGCGCAGCATGATTCAAAGTTTATTTTATATTTACGCCCTTATTCACGCCGATCAAAAGAAACTGCGACAATTCGGTACGTGCAGGCCCGTGCACGTGGCGACACAGGCTGGCTTCCCGCTCTAGCCGTGGGTTCCCACGATGTGTTGCCAAGGGCAGCGGCACGTACACAGACCTACCGGCGGATCCCACCCACCGGCCGACGGTAAGATTGTCAAAGACTACATTTATAACTCCGCCCCTATCATTGTTGTGTGCCGAACAGTCGAGTACATCTAACTTGCATTTTCACGTCGTACTGGCTGGTATAGCCCGCTACAAAGTAATTTCCTGTTGCATTAAACAAGATTTAAAAAGATTTGTGATACGAAATGAAATATTGATAACAATTTATGTTAACTGAACCTTTGTAACGGCATGGAGATAATCTTTGTTGAAGATTTACTGAGTTCAACGTCAAGCCGGAAGTGCA